GTGTCCATCGGTCCACAGTGTCTTTGTCCATTTCCTGGGGCGTCTTCCTCTCTTCCCTGATTCTCCCAGCGTGATGCTGTCTTCCAAGGATGGGTCCCTCCTGACGGCATGCGTTAGGCTTGACGAGACAGCGTTTCACCATTCGTACCCCCGTGTGAAGGCTGAGGGGCTGCTCCAGACCACAGTCTTTTCAGTGACTTGCTGTGCGGGTGAAAATGGGACCAGGAGTCGGCATAACACAAGGAACACCGAGGCCTGTGAGCTGTGTGGTGGGAGAACATTGCTGACCGTCCCCAACTCACAGGTCCCCTCCTCCGGTCCCGCTGGGTATCATTTCCCTGAAGCAGGCAGGTGACATCCACGCTTCTTGTTTTAGGGCTCAGTGCTTTTCAGGGACGTGGCCGTGGTCTTCTCCCAGGACGAGTGGGAGCAGCTGCTGCCGGCGCAGAGGGCTCTGTACCGAGACGTGACGCTAGAGACCTACCGCAGCCTGGCCTCGCTGGGTAAGAGCACCGGCCTGTGCCAGCAGCCCCTCGGTTCCTTCCTGGTCCATTTCAGGGGGCGGGGGGCTTCTGACAGTGGCAGGGTAAAGCACTCAGCTGCTGGCCCAGAGGTCCAGAGTTTCTCCAGGGAAGGAAGATGTGGTAGATGCTGCTCACGTAAAGATGTACCATTTTCGAACCCGGTGAGCTGTCCCCCTGTGTCCCGGAGGGTTATGGGGAGACCCCGTGAGTCATCCCACTCTGTCTCTGAGGCTCTGGGAGTCAGCACAGCTCAATGGCGGTGAATTTCAGTTTTGTGAGTGATTGGTCAGATTTGAGGAGGTACAAGGCAACCCCTTCGCAAGTTCTGTTTCTCCCTTCCCGTCTCGGGGTCACGTTTGCTCCTTTACAGAATACTCTGTGGTGTTATCACACACTTACTAGATGACCAAACCCACTGCCTTTGACTCGGTTTCAACTCCTGACACCCTCCTTTGGGCTTCCACTGGAGGAGACCGCCTGTATATCTCCTGCAGAGCGGCTGGTGGGCTCAAACCACTGTCCTTATGGTTAACAGCCCACCACACCACACACTCCACCACCAAGACTCCCTTAGCAAACCACAGTAAAGTGTGGATATGACTTTTATGGCACAGGGAGGCCCCCCAAAAAAAATTCCCGAGATTCATTTCATTGCAGATTCCCTGTATTGCAGTGGTCTGGAGCGAAACTTGCACTGTGTCCAAGGAACACCTCCACTTTAAAACGCAGAAGAGAACGTCAGGGGCAGGGAGGCTAGATGAACAGAAGGAGAACAACCAGAAGGAAGCACTGAGAATGTTCGCCCGTGTGGCAAATGCCACCTGTAATTAACAGCTTGGGTCGAAAATGGTTGAATCGGGAGCTAAACTACAGTGTAAGATCCACACCAGGATGTTATTACTGATACACACTGCTGGTGGCCGCGTGGGGAGCTGCACTGTGATCCTAAAAGGCATACGATTTGGACTCACCGGCTGCTCTGCGGGAGAAAGACGGGCAGTCACCCTCGCATGCAGTTAACTGCCTCTCAGAACCCGCTGGAGGGGCAGCCGTGCGTCATTCTGACTCGACGGTACACAACCACAACACAATACGATAAAGAAGTCCAGGTGGCCTAGTGCAAAACATGTTGGGCTTCTAGCTGAAAGGTCAGTGGTTCAAGCCCCCCCTGCAACTCTTTGGGAGACAGATTAGCATTCTCTCTTCCTGTAAATAGGAATCTGTGTGCCTGCAGTGGTTTGGGTGGGTGTTGTTTTTGTTTGTTTGTTTGGGTTAATAATAGAGGAACGTTGGTAGTGTGGTATGTTACATGTTAGGCTTCTGGCTGAAAGGTTGGCAGTTCAGATCTCTCAGCTGCTCCAGGAGACAAAGGTGGACCATCTCCTCAGCGCAGGAAACCTCGTCGAGGGTTTCACAGGTCAAGATAACTGGACGACAGTGGCCTTTCCTGGGAGACTGCGTAATTTGGAAGCAGGAGTGGCATCCACTTCCTAAACTCTATGAGCTTTGATAAATGTCGATGGTTGTAGAGGGGCTTCAGGCCTTTTGTTCGTAGGGTCGCTATGAGTCATTCTGGACTCTAAGACAATCAACAACAACAACGTGTAACTCAAAACTAAGTAATGTTACATTTTCCTATATAATAATAAAATACTATTTTTTTTCCCTAGCTCTGTTGCCCAAAGTACCATCTTTCCTAACCCTCAGGTGCTCTGCACGTCTCCGCCTGACACGATGGCCCGGCCCTACAGCGGAATTTTGGGAGGGGGCCGCCACCCCATCCGTGGATGACTCCACCTTTTCTCATTTCCAGGACTCACCATCTCCAAACCTGATGTGATCTCCTTGCTGGAACAAGGAAAGGCGCCCTGGACGGCAGAGAGAGCGTCGTGGGCAGGAGGCCTGGGCCTGGGTAAGCAAGGCCGCGTCGGGAGGCGGTGGGAAGCCGCCGTGCCGCGGGTTACAGATGCAGTGGTTGATGCAGAGTCAGGGTGGTCAGGTTAGGAAACGTTCCCTCAGCCGCGCCGTCTCCCCGTCCCCTTCTCCAGCTTCTCGGGAGCACTTGACAGAGCGGAGGGCTCGCTGCTCTCCGAAGCCTTTCTGTCTGTCAGGGCCTCACCATATCTCGGATCTCAACCAACCTCGCGAAACACTTCTCAGCGTCCTTCAGAGGACCTGCACCACCGGTGGAATGCCCCAAGGCTTTGACGTGGGCCTCTTCTCGTATTTCTGCTCCTTGAGACCCTCTGATGTCAGTGTCCACTCAGTGCTGGCTCAGAGAGACCCTCTGTGTGCAAAGCAGAACTCCAGAGTCTGCAAGACTCGGACCTTTCAGAGCAGACCACCAGGCCTCTCTGCCTAGATGCCTCTCTCTGGGTGGGTGTGAGCTGCCCACCTCCAGCTGGTGGTTGTTGTGTTGTTGTTGTTTTTGTTAGGTGCTGTCGAGTCATAGGTGACTCTTAGCGACCCTATGAATTAAAGACCTGGACACCTGTAAACTTCCATCCTTTCTCCAGGTTCATAGGTTTTCCGGAGGCAAACTATTAACAGAAGTGGATGACACTCCTTCCAAACTTGTTTTAATTGGTGAGCTCCACCAAACACTGTCCACCATGGGTAACCATTATCGGATTTGACACTTTAGTGTCACAGTGTTTAGCATCACAGCAACCACGAGTTACCTCTGTACAGCAAGTGGACAGAGCAGGGCTATACGACCTAGAAGAATGTTTGACCAAAAACAATTAAAAACAGGCCTGAGGGCCCTACTGTATTTTACAGTTCCCGCATGCCCACATGTTGGCAGACTCTGCACCAGAGACACCCCCCCAATTCATCTCACAAGTCCCCTCTGCTGACACCCACGTGGGATGAAAAGAAAACCGTAAGATCCCCGAGCGTTTCATACGGGTGTGTCCCTCTTCAAGACGTGAGAGGCCGCCGTCCTAAGGTCCAGCTGGAACCGAGATTCACAACACACTGGCCCTCAGCTCTCATCTAACGGTTTGTGCCACCCAGCGGCTCCTCCTCTTCATTGCTATCCGGCAGATGTCTGCCTCCTGGAGACCTAGAGAACAGTATAGAACTGACCCCAGAGGTTTCCAGACTTGTCAGTCTTTCCAGACATAGACTGCCTGGGCCCAGACCATTGAGCTTCATGTTGCTCCCAAAGGCTTGTGCACTGCACAGCCATGCTGTAAACACCATCTGTACTGTTCTGTCCAGTGTGGTCATTAAAGTGAAGGAAACCTCAAAGTGGACATCTCGGGTGCCCTTGCCACGTTCCCACGATTACTGGCCACATTGGGGCTGATGGCTGTTGTGTTGCACAGTACAGAAGTGGAACGTTTTCCTTGTAACAGAGGGTCTGTTGAACAGTGCAGATAATCTTCACAGCTACCTAACTTGAGAGTCCCTGCTGAGATGTTCAGTGGGCATCCTGAGATCTCCGTATGTCTTAGCATTGATTTTGCCCTGAGGCTAGGAGCTTCCCAGCACTGGGACCCCTGACCCAGAGGTCGCCCTCCATTCGTGGCCCTTCTTTCATGATGGTGGACCGCCACTGACCTCTCCTTGCTTGTTTGATCTCTTTTATATCTCAGAAGAAACTGACTCCAGATACAACCAACCCTGTAGAGTCCATCAACTTGAGGGGATTGTTAGAGTTTCCACATTGTATCATTACAGACACTTACTTTGTGAGGACACTAGTCAATCCAGGACCAGCAGGAGGCTTACAGCACCTTCTCTGTCAGCCTCCTGGTTCTGCTGCTGCCTCTGCTTCTGCCATCTCTCGCCTCCATTGTTATAGGCTCTCGTCTCCCAGGTCAAGGAGGTTCTCAGGGTTTCCAGGTCTAAAAGACATGTTCCGGCCTGTCTCTTCTTGGTGGCTGCCCCTTTCTGCCTCTGGGATGACTCATTATAAGCCTAGAGGATGGCCAAACCAGCCCATCCCTGTGCCAGGGTTCCATATGCCTTATTTGCATGGCCCCTCCCACAAGGGTGCCAGGTGCTTTATTTATAGTGTTAGCTATCTAGTCCCTTTGGTGGGCTACTAACATCTCATTAGCATAGCTGTACCCAGTCATTTGGTGAAAGTTAGACAGTAATAAAAGAGAACACAGTGCCCCCAACCCTCACCTCCTTGTACCCCCAATATGTTTTTCCCAATTAAAAAAAAACAAAAAACAAACAAATGAATGGATAGAGAAGCTATGGTATATTCACACAATGGAATACTATGCTGCATTGAAAAACAAGGGACTCATGCAAATATTATTCAAAATGGGTGTCCCTGGAGGACATTATGCTGAGTGAAGTATCTCAGTCACAAAAGGACAAATACTGCATGGTGCCACTATTGTAAAATAGGACTGACATCAGGGTTGGGGGGAGACCGAGGAAGATGGGTTCAATAATGTATACTGCATTGAAACAGATGAGAAACTGTTTAAAAGGGATATGTGATTAGGTATTTTTGTCATGACAGGTGTCTAGAGCGAAGGCTACAT